TGGCGAGCACATCTGACGCAGGACGATGTCCACCGTGGTGGCCGGGACGCGGTCACCTTTCTTTTGCGACGCGCCAGAAGCACGCACAGCCCCCCCGCACACAGGCAGGACATCATTAAGAAGTTTCTTTTCTGGCCGGGTGTGACTGAATCCATCGCTCACGTGACGTTTTCTTTCTGTTTCTCCAGCAGGTGGCATCCGAGGACTCGACAGCGTCCGTCCAGCAATTTCCCTCCAAAAAAAAAAGTAGCGCCGTTATTACATAACAGCTGCTGGCAGCACCCAGAGACCACGGAGACGCGAAGGGGCTGAGCGCGGGAAGCACCGCTCTCCTCCCAGACGAGACGAGCTCTTTCTTCTAAAGCGCTTGCTCTCAAGACCAGAAGCCGGGGCGGATGCAGCAAACGGAGGCGCGCGCAACCGAGGAGGTAGCGAACATCACGCAGCGAGCAGCGATCGCTGCAGTTCAGCTGCCGACGCATGGTCAAGGCTTTTGTGGGTACCGTCGCGTGGGTGGGTCTAAGAAGGGAGTCTGCAGTTGCTCCCAAACATCTCATAGGCAATGAGGACAACAGACATCGAGTGCAACCCCTTGTTCAAAGCAGGACCAGCCCCAATTACATCATGCCAAGCAACGTGTCAGGGTGTTTTTAAGCCTTCCTCAGAGGCATCTCCAATCCAACTCCTTGCTCAAGAGTAGGACCACCGCTAAATACATCTTCCCAGCCAAGGCTTTGTCTAAAACCTCGACAGATGGATATCTACCTCTCTGGGGAGCCTGTTCCAGTACTTCACCACCCTCCTAATGAGGAAGTGTAGATATGAAGATATTAGAAAAACTTCTTCATATCTAAGCGAATCTTCCCTAGCTTAGGTAGCTTGGGAAAACAGTGCCAAGTGACTTGCTGGCAGATTTGACAAATGCAGAGTCAGGGCTGAGGTGGATGATGAAGGGGAGACAAGGATCGGTGCCTCAATAGCTCTGTTAGATGGGAGGATTAAGTCGGAGATGGGCCGTGAAAGGCCTTAAAATGGTGGACAAGCAGTTGGGACTGATCTCGGGGAGAAAAGGGAGCTAGTGGTAGACACGGAAGATGCAATGGAAGGAGCACGCTTTTTACAGCAGTGACTCTGTCGCCATTTAAAACTCACAGCAAGCGTGCTGTCTTTGGGGTGCAAAGTGCTATATACGTCAAAATGCATCCTTTCGGTCATCAGAAAGAACCCGGTGACCAAAAGCCCTCGGTGTGTCTTCAGGTTTGGCAGTCAGGAAGGACCGATGTGGACGCAGCAAACTGCACGGTGGAAGCCAGCTCGGAAATAACTGTGGGAACGTGCTTGCGCAGCCTGCCCTCCACCTCCGAGATGTGAGGTAGCGCTGCAGCTCTGCAGAGGAAGTTCTCGTCTTTGTTGCTTCGTTTTTTTCCAAAATCATCGAGGTCTTTTTGATCTTGATCATTCTGTTCCGAGCATGGTCGCACCTTAGGAGAGAGGCTGGCTTTCCTCTGCCACGGTTTAACCTGTAAGCTGTAAAATAAAACATCCTCATCTGTTACTGTAAAGACCTTCAAAGAAGACCCAGTCAAACACAGTGCAAAGGAGCTGGAAGGGGAAGATCTACGAACACAGTGTGGGCTTCAGCTGACTGAATACTGTGTCCTTTCCTCCGCAAGCTTAGTGCTCGCAGCGTCGCAACTACCAGCGCCTGAAACCCATTCTGGTTCCAAGAAATCCCCATGTCACATCGTTAATATGAGTGTGCTGTGAGGCCTACAGTCTCACACCAGGCTTCCTGTTAGTTCTCGCACACTGAACAGGAGTGAGTTGGGGATCTTCAAAGACGCTTGTGGTGCTAGTGAGCCAGGGCTCGGCGGTTTTCAATTGAATCACAAACCAACCAGTGCCCTAACAGGCTGCTAAGGGACATGCTGCTGCTAGTACTTTTCTTTTCCGAAGAAGATAGGAACAGAGGACCCAACCACTTGTGCATGCTAAGCAGTGTACACCCCAATATCCCAGCCAATGTATGCCTAGATCTACTGGATCTAGTGTAGGGGGCTGGACTGGATACTCTCTTGAGGACCTTTCTAGCTCTGCATTTTTGTTGTCATGTTCTGCCTCGTTGATGTCCCTGTGCTTTATGCTACCCTCCTCTGCTTCCTATCTTATCCTGTTGTATATACTGCTTTTCCTGATCAGGCTGAGCTGCTTTGCAAAAAAGAAATTCCAGATTTCTTGGGCCAGAGAGGAGCAAGGTGGAGATGACTTAAGCCCTGGCACAGGGGAGACCTGGGTTCCCATACAAACAGTCCTTTGAGGGGACTCGACCACGTAGCGATCCCTGGTAACATCCATGACAGCCAAGAGCTCCTGAATGGACAAAAACGCCAAAGCACACAAAGATGAAGATACGGACCCCATTTTTGTCATACAAAAGTTGAAGTCCTTGGAGCAGGGACTGTCCCAGGCCTTTCCCTCTCCCATGTGAGGGATGAAGAATGGAAGCTATAAGTAGCCAGCACTTTGTAAGATCTGAGCAAGAAAGAAAGAGAGACGTAGGGTCTGGTATTTTGCCACCTGGTTATTGAGGCCTCGATTCAAGGAAGCTTGGGTTCACCTCCCTCCCTGCTCAGCGCAGCGCTTCAGCAGCACAGCGAATCGGTTCAGAATGACCCAATTCCCCTGTGGAAATCAGAGCACTTTATCTCTGTGGAAAGTGCATGTAAGGCATTATACTCGTCTTTGCATCGCTTTGCCCAGGCATAAATGACTTCTCAAGGTGTGGGCTGGTACAGGACAATCAGACCCTGACTACTTTTAGGGGTCAGATCCTGCTTGCCTTGATTTTGATCTTGCCTCAGTCACTTCAGCAGACCCATGAACCTCAGTGGCACCTACCAGGATTTGGGCCTTGTGTGACTGCAGAACTATCACCGTGCGACAGAAGATGCCATAAAATGGAAGTTACCACAGTCACTAAAGGGGAAGGTCTCTTTCTACTTCCTTTTTCTCCCACAGAACAGGTTTGTGGGGCCAACTTCTACTTTTCCCCTGGAGTAGGCAGCCTAGATAGCAGCCCCAGCCTAGTGGAGGAGGTTTATTTCTGCAAGAATAATGGGGGACACACAAGTAATTCAGATATAGATGGAGCTGTCTGCTTAGTAGGAGACTTTGCTATGGGGGGGAATATGATCTCAGTCTCAAGCACGACTTTTCAGAGAAGTCTGCCTGCATTAGTTTATGTGTTGATCTGTTCCGTTTTCTATATCTTTCACCTTCCTAAGCAAAGCTGCTGAAACTAGACCTTGATAAGATGGGTACTTTCTGCTTGTTGGGACTTAGATGGGTGGTATGAGGATCTAGATACAGACTCCCACAAAATACTTGCAGAGCTTCTGACATGCCAGAGAAATACACACGTGCAAGGCAGAGTGGTTGCATCAGCTAATTAAATGCATGAATTGCTCTGGATTTAGCTCTAAATGGCCAAGTGGTGGTGTATGGCAGGGAGTCTGGAGCTAAAGAAAGTTCAGATACGGATATTCCCTGTGAGGTTTGCTGGGGGAGCAGAATAAAGCCAGGACAACGGAGATCTGGCCTCAGCAAGGATTGGGAAGGAGCATGGAGCTCACCAACTTGAATGATTAAATCCCTGTTCAAAGCCCAACTTGGTTCCAGCAGCAGTGGCTCTCTGATGGTTGCACAGGGCCTTGTGGAAGATGGTAGCGGTCTCAATTAAGTCCTGTCCCTGCCGGATCTGCTTCGCCCGGTCTTTGCCCCGGGAAGTGGAGATGCTTCTGGAACTGCTGTTTGCTGCTGCTTGCTTCCCTTCACGGGGGCACTTTGCAGCTTGGAGTGGGCAGAGGGATAAATCATGGTTATTTTTCCCCCCAAAACTTCTTTATGTTCTTCATTATCACAGTTTCCTGCCCCTTCCCCACCCCCTTTTTTCCCCTTTGGGGCATTGCTGCAAATGTCCCGTCTCACAATGTGTTAGCACAGGCCCCATACCCCATACTGGGGAAGGGTGATTTGCAACGATGTTTTTTTAGGTAAGTACACCAAATGCCCAGCCCGAGATACTTCTAGGATAAGAGAAGTAGCTGCAGAGTGGGGTCTAAAGACCAAGCGTGCAATGCTGGGAGGAATCGCAGGTTGAGATCCTGGCACAGGGTCTCAGCCCTCCAATCAAAATGTGCTGCAGGGAGTTTGCTGTGCAAGGCCACAGTAACTAAGGTCCCATCCTGCTCTGGGTGGAGTGGGCTTGTCTCTCAGAGACACTGGGCGCGTCTACATGTTCATGACTGCTCATGTAGTTCAGTACGTGCTTAATGAGGTACTAACTAAATACGCAGTAACGCCGGTGCAGTTTTTTCATGACACTTATTGCACAGTAGCCTGATAACACCGTCCAGTAGCTTCTTAGCATGGTTTTTGACTGGCACACTATTGCCTGGTGTTATTAGGTTACTGCGTAGTAAGCGTCTCGTGTAGACGCACCTACCGAGCACCCGCAAACCTCATGGATATCAGCGGGCTCAGCACTTCTGAGGCTGCAGCCCTCTGCAATGTCACCTGGAGATAATGTTCTTGTCATGGACCAGAGTGGGCAGGAGATGTCGCTGTTCCAAAATAAAAGCACCCAGAAGGTTCGTTTTGTGCTGCCTGATGAGAGCACAAAATTACACCTCAACCAAGCGAACACAAGTCATTTCTGAAAGCCGACGGGATTGAATAGACATGATTTATCCCCCTGCCTCCTCCAAGCTGCAAAGTCCCCCAGTCCACCCTGCAGCCCAGCTTGATGGCTTGGCTGAGGAAGCCCTGTCTGCCCCAGGGTAGTTTGTTCCAGCAGTTAATCCTCCGCACTGTTCAGAGCACATTCCTTATTTCTAATGTGTGCACAACAGACACTTGGGGCTGCCGCATCCGCCCAGAGGGACCAGGAGCTCCCTGGCCCTGATTCGGAGAAGTATTATGCTGAAGTGTCTTTCCATGTTATTGCAGCAGGAGAGAGGAGGGTGTGAGTGCGTGGGTGTGATCTGACCTATTCTACAGCGGCCTCTTTTCTTTTCCCATCCGCCTCCTATATCAGAACAGCCCTGCCGCTACACAGCAAGTCCAGCGTATGGATTGCAGACAGACTGGGTAAGTGTGTACCCCACCATGCACACTTTAGACATGGTGGGCACAATCCAGTGCTCTGCAGCTAGTAGGGTCCCGACTCATTTCATGGGGCATTTTAATATGCATGTTATTTTGACTAACAGAATCAGACAAGCAGCTAAACAGAAACATGTTTGGGTTAAAGCAAACTATTAACTAAGGTGCAAATGCAAATCTATGAGACTGGTCTGCTGTTATCCCTGCTTTATTGTTCAGAAACAAGGACCACATACACTACACATATATGAGACCAAATGCTAGGCACATCAAGATACATATGAGATGGATGTTAGGCACATCAAGAGACTGAACAGCTTCTATATGAGATGTCTGCGTAACATCCTGAAAATAAAGTGGGAAGACAGAATACCAAACACAGAGGTACTGGAGCACGCAGGACTGACACGCTTAGAAACTGCTATCAAGAAGAGGGGGTTGTGATGGATCAGCCATATCAGGAGAATGGGAAGAAATGGTATCCCCAAGACTATTTTGTGCAGTGAGATTCAAGAGAAAGTGGAGTTGCCCTTTGCGGCTGTACCACGACGTGCAAAAATGATATGAAGTCATTCAACATCAACATAGAAAGCTGGATCCTGATTGTGCAGGATCCCGTTTGGTATGGGGGGAACTTGGGGCACGGGGGCAGCTCAACAAGAAGCGGCTTTGATCCAGAGGAGGGAAGCAAAGCGAGGAAGAAGAAAGCAGCAAGCTGTAAACTTGAACTCCAACTCAGACAACACCTGGATCCATTAAACTTACGACAAGCTGTTGCTCTCAAATTGGCCTTGCGAAACATCCACAAATGGATTCAGCAGGCCATGCACATGTCACCATGATCCACTGCTTTCTGAGTGTGGAGCCCTGCCTCATTCAGGCCACGCCGCATCTCATCCCATGGAGCACTTTCTGTCTCACCTCCTGGCCACCTGGATGGCTTGTTCCACTTTCAGTGTATTAGTAATGCTTCTAGTTTCTTTATAACTGAAGAAAAATGGGTGTTTTCACATGTGACGATGCCCCTCACCTTCTGCACTCCCTTTCTTAAAATCCTAGATCCGCCCATGTATACAGAGGCTGTGTCAGGATTGTCTGAGCATCCCCTGGGGCAGACAGGAGGGTCTCCCTCCTCCGGACCTCGCAAGGGTGGCGGTGCAGGATTTTTCTCCTTTTCTTAGCCACGCACAGGGACACGTGCACCACCCTGGACTGTTCCTCTGTTTAACGAGATTTCACAGACGAGCACTCAGAGGCGAGGAAATCCCAAAAGCCTGACTGACTCCTACACCTACACACTAGGACACAAATTTCAATCCCATGAATATGTGGTGTTTCCCAGCATACAGTACATCCTGTTTTCTACAGCCTTGTGCAGCGCAGTGGATAGATCAATGTCTGTTTCCAACCACAGCCTCATGTGGGCTGTGAACAGATGCCTTTGGTGGACTCCTACAGGAAATACCCATAAGAGATTCTCCAATGCAATCACAACGTCCTGCCTCATTGCACTTTCTCAAGGAAATTTCTATTCATGTTAAATACCGATGTGAAGGAGGAGTATGCTATGCAGTGGGCAAACTACAGCTCTGTGCCACAGCCTCACTATATCACTCTGGGTGAGTCACTTGTCTTCTCCCTGCCTTTGTTTTCCCACCTGTAAAGTGGAATCTCTAATGGGCTTCAATAGTCAATATCATAGAATCATAGAAAATGAGGGTGGATGGGACCTCAGGAGGTCACATCCAGTCCAAACCCCTGCTCCAAGCAGGACAGCCCCAACTACATCATCCCAGTCAAGGCTTGGTCTAGCCAGGGCTTAAAAATTTCCAAGGATGGAGAGTCCACCACCTCTCTGGGTAACTGTTCCAGTGCTTCACCACCCTCCTTGTGAAAATTTTTCTTAATATCCAACCTCAACTTCCTTTGCTGCATCTTGAGCCCATTGCTCCTTCTGGTAACATGTCTCTTTTGTTTCACAGACCTGCAGGCCATCTTCATAGATTCATAGATGTTAGGGTCGGAAGGGACCTCAATAGATCATCGAGTCCGACCCCCTGCATAGGCAGGAAAGAGCGCTGGGTCTAGATGACCCCAGCTAGATACTCATCTAACCTCCTCTTGAAGACCCCCAGGGTAGGGGAGAGCACCCCCTCCCTTGGGAGCCCGTTCCAGACCCTGGCCACT